AGTCAAAATTTGAAATATTTGGCTTTAGCAGGAGGCAGTTTGCTCGCCGAAGGGCTGGAGAATGGTACAAGAATGAGTGTCTGCAGGCAACAGTGAAGCAAGGTGGAGGTTCCTTGCACATCTGGGGCTGCATTTCTGCAAATGGAGTTGGAGATTTGATCAGGATCAGTAGTGCCCTCAATGCTGAGAAATACAGGCAGATACTTATCCATCATGCCATACCATCAGGGAGTCGTGTGATTGGCCCCAAATTTATTCTGCAGCAGGACAATGACCCCAAACATACAGCCAATGTCAATAAGAACTATCCTCAACGTAAAGAAGAACAAGGAGTCTGATGGTTTTGCCCCCACAGAGCCCTGATCTCAACGTCATGGAGTCTGTCTGGGATTACATGAAGAGACAGGAGGATTTGACGCAGCCTATATCCACAGGAGATCTGGGGTTAGTTCTCCAAGACGCCTGGAACAACCTACCTGCCGAGTTTCTTCAAAAACTGTGTGCGAGTGTACCTCGAATAATTGATGCTGTTTTGAAGGCAAAGGTTGGTCACACCAAATGTTGATTTGATTTGGATTTCTCTTCTGTTTGCTCACTTTGCATTTTGTAAATTGATAAACATAAACAATTAAAGTTAATATTTTTGAAAGCATTCTTTCTTTAGAGCATTTTTTCACCTGCCTAAAACTTTTGCACAGTATTGTATGTCTGTGTATATAATTTTATATTCCGTGTGTATTCATACATTTTTTTTCATTAAGACCACTTTTTAAAAAATTATGTGTGAATGCACAGCATAAATTATATTAACCATGTTTTTTCTGCATTTTGAAAAAGAAAAAAAATGTAATTTCATGGGGATCCCCAAAGATTATGAACTACAGGTAGATGTATTCTTCAGTGCTCTTTAACAAGAAATCCTAATAATTGCATAGACTGAACAAGGTGAGACCACCCAGAGAACAGCTTTTGGAATGCTTTCCAACTCTTTACCATGGGTGGCCTTAGGAGGCATCTGTATTTTCCTCTGTGTAGCAAAGTAGCATGTTGTTCCTGCGTGCATACATACTGCCTCTGTTTTCTGTGAGGGTCTAATTAGGAGTGTGAGAGATTGTGGGAACCAACCACAATTCAGTGGATGCAAAAGGCAGCCCAGCCCAGAGGTAGGGGGCTGTGGGAATAAAACATTTCAAAGACTCTACCTTAAGGCCTACCTGGCTTGCTGTAGGTCTCCCAAGGAACTTACTTTTATAGTTTTTAAGCTTATGCTTTTATCTTGAATGGCAATAAAGTTGCTTTCTGAAATTTGTTTGGTTCTTATTTCTTGAGTGTGTGGGACTTGACAAGGGGTTATGTTTCCTGCATTTCTGCTCTCCTCTCATGTTATATTTGCATGTTTATATTGTGCACTGGGAATCATGAGTCGGGCTGCATGAACCAGAAGGGAGGAAGGCTTAAAATGGAGCAGTGGACAACATTTCAAGCCACTGCTCAATTGTCTTTCCTAACAGAATACCACTGGGGAGAGGGGAAATTGGGATTCTTTTTCTCCACAGCACGTGGCTTGATCCAGCCCATTTTCATTTTTGATTTTGGGGGGAGGCTGGCTTCTCCTCCAACAAATTTGGTCCTGTTCTATACAATTTTAGGAGAGTTATTCTGCTGATGTGTAGACAGAGTCCCAATCTCCTTTACATAGCTGCTTAGGCATACCAGCAATTAATCTATTGTAAAATACACAGAGGTTTCATTAAAAACTAAAATAAAGGTACTTTTGGATGTTAAAACCAGAAAATACTAGAACTGGACAAAACGTAAGAAACACAATGAGCTACGTCAAACCAATTCCTTCTTGGTTTGAATTTCTACTTTATTATGCAAATTACATACATACAAGAGCAGTACTAGGCTTAAAACAACCACACTTCTTCCCAGTATGCAGGTGGTATCAGATTTTTCCTTTTTCTGGCTCCCACATTCTGCTGGCATAGGAAAAAGAATATGTTTCATCAAGGCAGTTTAAGGAACCTCTGCATGATTTGGTTTATTCAATTCGGGGAACAAAAATGTAACGGTAAATCTTGCAAACTTTATACAATAACTTATATTAGGAACACGTAATTCGAGCAACTACGATCCTGTTGTAATATTAAAGCCCTAAGAAAGGCAGCAGGTTGTATAGTTAACTCCTTATAGGCAAAACCACTGCCCTAAAACTATGCAACCTACTACCTCTTCCTAGGAACCCCACCACTTCTTCTGTAATTCTTCTAAAAAAAGAAGTCATTGTGAAGAAAGGTTATGCACATCTTTAAAGATTATGCAGTATAAACACATGCATGTTCATTGTGCAAAGATATTGCCATTGTTCATTTGTGGTAAACAGGAAACATCCTTAGGTGTTAAATGTTTTGACATCATATCAAATGATTAATATATACACAAGTATATCCCCATTCCATTTGAAACAGAACAATGGCTACTTTCTTAAACTACAATTCAGCTTAAGTAGAATATTTTCAAAACAGACATTCAGTAAGATCATGAACCAATACACAAACATATCACATATACTCCATCCCTCATCAAGTATCTCCTTCAGCAGATAAAGACAAAATGACCCTTACAGCCTTGTGTACATAGTTTGCCACTAAAAACAAAAACATACTGTAATTTCTATTATAAATCAAACTGCAAATAATCCACGAAGAATACTGTAGAATTTTTACTCCTCAGGGAAGGCAATAGATTGTATAGTTATCTCCTGAAGAGGGCAAAATAACTGCCCTACAACTATACAATCTACTACCTCAACCTGATAAGAGAAACATACTTAGAAAGTAAATTTGTTCTGAGAATATGCCTTTGAATTTGATCCTGAAAAAAGCTTGCACCAGGAAGCTTTTGTTTCACATATCTCCTATGAGGCTGTATGAAAAGCAGCAGGCCTTTTGAATGATGGAAAACAGGTACTATGGACGGGGGGGGGGGACTCTCAAAACTGGTCAAAAGTAGCTTGAACACAAAAGATTTGCTTTTCTGAGCTATTTCCCCCTCTGTCCTTCATACCGCAGTCCAACTTTGATTGTTATTAATTATGGCACTGGTGCAAGTTCCCTGTTGCTCATGTTCTTGCTTCTTTGAAATAATGTTCAATTGTGTACATTATCTACCATTGCAACCATAGTTCCAATAATAAAATCAGACTAATGTTGCTGATGACTATCTGCCTCCTTAGGAAAGACAGTAGACTGTATAGTTATCTCCCAGTGGTGGGTATGACCCTAAAACTATACAACCTACTACCTCATCCCACAGAGCAGTATCTTCATTTAATAGATGGCAATGTCTTTTTAAAAAGGATGCTAAAACAAACATCTCTCCAGTTGTTTAACAATCTATTTTAAAAGCCTTTCTTTCCAGTTAAATATCTGAATCATTCAGTCTTAGGAACTTCTCTGGATGAAGAAATTAAGTTGATTGCAAATACTGATGCAAGGCAACTATTGTACAGCGTTCTTCATTCTATTCCACTCTCAAACCTAAAAGGAGGAAGGAAAGTTAATGAAAACCATCCTAAATAAATAAAAGCATGCAACTGCAATTTCAGCTATAAGAAATGCCAGATTTTATGACAATACATAAATAGCACAGGAAACTAATCTTATTCTTTATACTGAAATAAAATGCAGGTTGTGA